TGCTGTTATTGCTAGGAAACTCTTTAAACCAATCCTACTGGTCTTTCAGCATCAGCAGTGGTAGACAAAGGATATTCCAATAGCAGGCTGTGGTAGAAAGGACAAAGTAGCCACATTATGTCTAGCCACAATCCCAGGATGTTAGACTTTTACAACTCAAAACTACACCATAAAAAGCAAATCTGACACAAGCAAGCATAAACCCACGCATGCTTATGCACGCTTATAGAATATATGTCTCAGCTACAAATATTTTATACTGTTTTTGACTCGTTGGATGACCATTTCCATAATGATGTCTTTGACACACCATGTCAAAGAAGAAGTCCTGGGTGACACTTTTGCACATATTAACAAGGCATCGGTCTTTGCTGAACTGGCTTACACAGCCTGGTTCATGTGCTGGGAATACCACCAGCAAATCTAAAAGTTTGGGAATTTGGAAACTTTCAGCAGTTGACTTCCTGTAGCCTGCAGGGAAAGCTAGTCTGGTACAGAGTGGAAAAAGGCAGACTGTTCTGTTAAAACTGGTGCCCGACGTACAGCAAGCATTTGTAGAGAAACCACCTATCAGCTATTCTGTAATTACACTTGGTACATAGTGGCTAAATTAGTCCTTCTTCTGTCAGGTAAATTCTTCGATCTCAGATCTCTAAAACCAAGGAGAATCTCCTTGCTTATTAGCAGATTATACTACAAAAGGGAGCAAGAGACCTTGTCATCTCCTTATTCCCTGGTTGAGCCACATGTAGCACAAATATCCAAGAGAAAGCTCTGCAAAAAAGCCAGGCTTGTTAAATGCATGCAAATTGCTTTTAAGGCAATTCATCCCACTGCTTGGCCCATGCTGTCTTGATGTGGGTCAGACTGTAAATGACACAATTTGGTTGCCACCATGCTAACCTCTGCATTCCTCTGACTCTGAGGGAGAAAGTCTTCTTCCTTTCTCACCTGACTTCAAATGGAAGTCTCATGAATGCCATGGATTTAGTCCGTAGTTTTATAATTGTGGTTTTATTTGAATTGCCGCAAAAATGTTGGGTGAGATTAAACTCAAGCTTCTCCTTTTGAAGAGGTCTACGCTTAATATGACTTTTACACCCTCTTTTCTCACTAACTTAATTTTTTTCTCCTTTGAGTCTAGTTGCAAGTTCCTACACTGCAGTTGTGAGAGTCTTCCATTGGTACTGTGCTAAGTGATATTTATGCATAAAGTTTTTCTAATTGCTGATTCCATTGGCATTCATAAACCTATGCCGGAATGAATGAAGCTCTCATTCATGTTTATATATTAGTTTCCAACATTTGTATGTTTGTAATCATCAGGCTACAACCAGCTTTCATTTGCAGAGACATAAAATGAGGCTAACTGAGTCAGGAGATATGCTCTATTATGTAAATGGAAAGATTCTTTTCTAGTATCGAGAGTTGAGTTTGCCACAGAAAGCTCCCATTTCTGCAACTCAATGAAGTTTGTTCACGACGGGTAACTGTGGTTATGGCTACATTTATAAGCGGTTTGGATCAATAGAAGCCCATCTCGAGAGCTTATTTTGCGCTCAGGACCTGACAAAGGCACTGCTACAGGTTGATGGAATGCTTAGTTCAGCTAAGCTCTGTTTGCCCCCAAGCACCAATGCTCTGTTACTGCTGCAGCTCACCTCCCAGGCTAGTTCTGTCCAAAGGGAATCCAGGTCAGGACTCGCAGTGCCCTTCCTGATGTGAACCTGTGCTCAGCAAGCGGGCAAGAGCTGAGGGTTGCCAGAAAAGCACTCTCCTGATCTAACTAACGAACACACTAACAAAGACACACCCTATGTGCAAATTACAGAGACTTACCCAATTAGAATATCTCTGCGGCAATCCTTAGCCATCAACGATTTTCCCAGCCATATAATTGCTAGTATTAACAACACAAGTTCCCAATTTAACAAATGGAAGCAAGATAAATGCCAACCTCATCCTGGCTTCTTCCAGCTTTATGATTCACAGTGTAGTAAGCTGTTGCCCTTGGTCTTTTGGAAATAGTGCCCATGTGAGAATTTTAATGACAATGCAGTACTGCTTCTGGTCTGTTCTGGATATCCGAGGGCTTTGATTTCTTTATCATGGAGGAGAATCTGATGGTCAAGCAAACTGGGTCTATTATGCCCCAGGGACCTGTAGCTTATTCACCTCCACTCAATGGCCTGTGTACTTCCTCACTCTTTATGCTTAGCAATAGATTACCTGGCACAGAGACCCAAAATCAAGGAGAACACCTAAACAGTCTGGAATCGGCAGGGAGAGGAACCAAGGAGGTTTCTGGTGTAGCACCATGGGAGAGGATGGGTGGTAGGAAGAGGTGATATGACATATTGCTTAGATTTTCTGTGTCCTTTAGCATCACTGCCTTGTAGGTGAATGGCCACAACTGCTTTCCTCTCCAGTAAGCTACCATATTTTGGCACTGGCTCTGATTTCAATGCCTCCAGCATGGGAAACCAGACTTCCTGCCTGCCTGCATTCAGAAACTTTGTTAGTTCTTTTCTCAGGTCTTGCCATGCTTCTACAAAAAAAAAAAAAAAAAAATCACCAGTATGCATGGCCTTTTTATTACTATCCTTTATCCTTCTCTGAAACTGTCAGCAAATTATTGCTCATACGTTGCTTCATAGGAATTACTTATGCACATGCTTTGAATCTCACTTGTCCCTGAAGTAAGTGTAGATTACGTTAAGTAAAACTACTTACCCGTAGATATCAGACAGAGCCCCAGACAGACAGTGGGCCAAGACATAGAAGGATGATAGTGGCTTAAAAACACTATAATTACTTGCATTCAATAAGCCTGGCATTTTCCCAGAGCTGTCTCTGTGGATGTTTGTGCTATGTATGGCTCAGCAAGGTAACAAGGAGAGGACAAGGTCTCTTGCTCCCTTCTGCTGTCTAACCTGCTTAAAAGCAAGAAGATTTTCATTGTTCTTAGAGATCTGAGATCTCGATAACAAACTGACTTTCCACTCCCGTTTTTCGTCCATAATAAAAAGACAGCTATATTGTCCCAATTCTTGACCATGCTGTCTGCCCCACAATACTGTTTTGAATAGTTCTCCTTCAAGAATATGATATTCCAGACTGGAACAGTTTCTGTAAAGCAGTGTTTTCACAAGGGCCATGAAAAAAGCTCAAAAAAAAGCATGGGAAAGGGGTCAAGATAACTGATAATGTTGTTATGCAGTGACTAAGCAGATCTTGACCTGTAGCTTTTAAAAAGGTGATATGTTTGCACTGCCCAGTCTTGGTCACGGTATCTGCACACACTTCCTATTACTAAGTAAAGTGCAAATTCATTGATAAACAGTAAAAGAGGAGTGGCACTCAGTCTCGCACAAGTCTTTTGTACAGTATATTGCACTTGTAAATATACAATCAGCAACAAATTCTGAAAAGACAGTACTCTTCCAGGGATTTTTTAAGCCAAATCTACCAGGACCTGAGATTACTAAAGCATCAGTGATAAAAATTACAATGAGGAACTTCAGTTGACTTCAGATACACTTTCAGCTTCCTCAGACTGCCATCTGTAACTTAACAGTTTATAATTGAGGGCTATAGCTGACTTTAGTCAGAAAAATCAAGAAAGATTAGTGCACTAGAAAAGCCTGTGATCACACAGATGTGAGAAAATAAGATAGACTCTGGTTTATTCGGCTTTATGCAAGTCACGTGATGTAATTAATTTCAACTGCTTTTGGTCTCTGTACAGAAACTTCCAGTAAAAGATTTTAATGATGTAATAATTACCTTTTTCCTTTCATGATCCTTCTAACTATGCCTTAATTTATGATGCCTTTAACTAGCATACATGCATCCTGGGGCTATGATGGATGCACACTTATTTAAGCCAAAAGATAAATCTTAATGAAAGGGATTTTTAACACAATAATTAACATGTTTTTTGATCATCATAACAGTAATTATTAGAGACACAAAAATAAAATCAGATCTCAGAAGAAGCCATGAAGATCCTAAATAGGGTGGACTAGCAACACTGCCCTATTATTTTGCCAAGAAATGATACATCAAAGTGGCAGGAGTGAATCATCATACACTACTGGGAACTACACCCAGAGAAACCATGAGACAAAAATACGAGATGCACTAACCTCCACCGTAAATTGCAAATTATAATCGCACAGTAGATAGTGTGCAACATGCTTTTTCTCATAGTTACCAACCTATGCTCTCCTTATGCCTCCACAAACATGATAGCTCATCAGATAAAGAAAACAACGGAAGAACCACAAAAGCGTAGGCATTTTGGCTTGATATGAAAGGTCCATTTATTTTTAAGAAAATGTTTTTACTCTGAAGGATTATAAACTCTCAACATGTGTCAAATAACCCAGTTGAGCAGCCTTGTTCTTTACAAACCTATTACCTCCTAAAACCCCACTTTTTAGTGGGATTATATACACCTGATGGGAGGCAAAACCAACAATGAAAAGAGCATGCACACTCTTTACCTGCTGTCATTCTCCCCTTAGCAAATATTACTAGCACTCAGAATTTTGCTCAGCTATGAAATCATTTTGCCCATATACACTTGGAGGCAGACTGTAACTTGCAGGCAGCCCTTTTGCAATGACAAACAGTAAAGAAGTCAAACAAAGCTGAAAACGCTTTTTAAAGAATATCCTATTGATTTTACCTCTGAGTCAGATTTACCTTAGGAATTAGATTCATAGAATCACAGAATGGGCTGGGTACAAAGGGACCTTAAAAACCATCTGCTGTCGTGGGCAGGGACACCTACCACTACATCAGGTTGGCCAGAGCTGCACCCAGCCTGGCACTGAACACTTCCAGGGATGGGGCATCCACAACTTCTCTGGGCAACCTGTTCCAGTGCCCCAAATAAAAAAAGTTTAACAGTACACATGGAGACCTCATTTAAAAGGAGATAGCAAAAAGAGAGGAATAAAGAGCTCCTTAAAGAAAAGGATATAGTATGGTACCTTTTCCAGTCAAAGTTTCTTCTTTTATTTTCCTCACCGCTTTTTGGCCCTCACTTTCACTCTTTCCAGCTGTGAAAATACAGAAAATAGAAAATTAGCAATGCAATCAACTTAAAAGTGTGAATATAAGCATGCCACTGTGAAGTGCTAACCGCAGGGTAAAACCAGCATGAAGTTTTAGGTGAAAAGGCGTGCTTCGTAACTGTCAGGCAGCAGAGGTTTTCGAAGAGGGCTATACAAATGCATTGCTGTTCATACGAATTCTGCCTGTTTATCTCATTTATTCATATAAAATAGGACCATCTGCTGGCTGGATCAGCAGATTTGAGATGTAAGTCTCTGAGCCAAGTGAATTGTATCCCATTCAGATTCTACAAAAGCTTCAAGTGTCCCGTCCTCTCTGTCACAGTGTCACAGAATAAGATGAAACTGAAAGGGCCCTCAGGAGGTCATCTGGTTCAACCTCTTGTTCACATTAGCATGTACATGCTTGTATTTACTCTAAGATGTTAGAAAATACTTTACAGTGCTATTAAACTGATTCATGTCATCTCACAGAGAATGTGTTAAAAAAGTGGGAGTAAGCCCTTTGAGACAGAGCATGTGTCATCCATCGTCTGCACTAGCTGAAGGCTCACAGCACTGAATGGAGATTTTAGGGAACTCCCAACCACTTTGAGGAGCTAATGCACCCTTTTGAGGATGGAGTTTTAGCTGTGCTTCTGCAGTAAAAAACAAGGATTTCAAACACATCTCTTTTTTCATGATATACAGGAAAACCCAGCATTTACATAAATTTAGCCAAAATAAATACATTTAGCATTCCAGATACTGGAGAGAAAATAATTCTCACATAAAATCTAGAGTCATACAGTTTACAACTGTTCTCTATAAGTTCCATTAACTATGGGGTTATATTATTCAGACTGACTAAGAAAGAAAGAAAGAAAAAAAAGCAACAAAGCAGATACTTGCAGTATTTTCTTCTTGCTGATTTTTTACCTTTAAAACCATCCAGCCTTGTACAAAAGAAAAAAAATCAGTTTGATGTTAATTTCCAGATATAGATGCAGCATCAACAGACAAACCCTCCAGTGAAACTGCCATTTCTGGGGAAATCTGTGCACAGGCTTTATGGGCAAGAGATCAATTTTCCTCACTGTTCCACCTCAAGAAGGGTACTAGAGTAGGATTTCAGTGTTTTATTATGATGGATAGAGCCATACCAGAGATAAAAATACTTTTGTACCAATTCTGTGAAGGTTTTATTTGATTCCTCTTTCATTTGGCACCCCTCAAGCAGAGATCAAGCTTATTAAAGCCTCCAGTGTCTTGATTTCACTCTCAGTGTGTTCACTTAATTTGTTCTTTTAAAAGAGCTTGTGTTCACAACAAATTTTAATTTGCTTTATTTTGCTGTTATATAAATGGTTATTCATTAAAGCTCAGCGTCTTCCAAATGAGCTCATTTTATTCATATTTGCATATTTTTCACCCTAGACCACTGGGGAAAAAAAATTATTTTGCTAAACAGTCACTTCAGATGTCTCTTTCCAGCCTGATACAACAGAGAGTTTGATACTGAAGGCTGGAGTATCACAAAATTGAAATAGCCTCAGTGAAAACTGCCACTTTAATGGAGGCTTTTGAAATCCTTCTTTCAAATAAAATGCTGTAAGAACAAATAAAGACGCTGTAAGAACAAATAAAGACACTGTAAAAATGACCAAAATCCTTACAAAAAGTTCAAAGACACATATATCAGAAAGATACCATAAAACTGTTTCTGAGTTAGGTTAAGGAAAGCAGCACTCCCTTGCTGCAGATGGGTGGGAGAGGAAAGGAACATTGCACTGTCACAGTTTCCCTTCTAGCATGTCCTTCTGAGATCCTCTATGCAAAGTGAGTGGTAGGCTTGAAAAAGATCAACCTCCTTTTAAGTGCTACATTAATTATTCAAAATTTAAAAAGAAAAAGTCACCAAACTAAAACAAACAGTTTCAGGTTGGGAAAAGTCAAAACTAATTTGCGTCTTCGAGATGGAGTTGGGTCACTAAAGAGCACAACCTTCAAGTGCACTGAACAGGTGTACAGCACCCTAAACAAAGGAGAAGGATGGTTTACTATATAAGGATCAAATTCTCACCGTCAGCTAGACTAGATCCTCAGTAGAATATTTGTAGTGATTCTTTAAAAAACTTTGTGATATATAAAATAATCCTCTGTCTGAACTTTTTTCAATGAGTCACCATAATTTTCATACGGTCCACATACCAGAATTTATCCATTTTAAGCAGTAAAGCATCTGTAGCATAAGATCTGCCTACTCTGAATTCAAGTGGTTTGTAGGAAAGGGTAAGAAAGGGAAGACAAATCATGTTTTTAATGCAGTGAGGGAATCTTAACAAAAGCTTTGAGAAAAAGGCATTCATTGTTTTGGGAGGCTAGATCATCAAAGTACCCAAAACTGTAAAAATCTTTCTTTTCATGCTGATTTAAAGTGTCTGTTGGGAGCTCAAAATAGATATAGTTGTCTCAAGAACTGTTTATGCAAGCTGTTCAGAGCCCTATCTGATGTTTTTCTTGCCCTTAGCCCCCACAGAATAATGAAAAATTTAGGTGAGGCTGATTCAATAACAATGCTGACTACAAGCAATTCTGAAAATAAAACTAATAACATAAACATAAATTTATTTTAAATGGATGCATCTGTATAAAATCAGATGTTATTTCAGTGACTTACAAAATTCTAATTCTCAGTAAAATACTGAAACTTGTGCTTGGGAAAAAAAGGTAAATATATTTAAATACAGCTTTTAGTCAAAAAAATTTACTCTTCAACATTCACTTACAAAAACACCACAAGTCAAAGCACATTGATATAAAGCCACCAGCGAAGTACATAGAAAAATTCTGATCAGCAGCAATAGGCTCTGGATCTTATCCTAAATGTCAGCCTCTGTCATCTTAATCACTTAAGTAGATCCTAACTCTGAAAGTTATTTCAGGGATTTCAACAGAATTATCACAGAGATTGCTAAGTCTGAATAAGGCTGGAAAAAGCACAGCCCATAAAAAACCCAGCATGGGCTAAAAACACATTATAGCTAGTTAAGGGGTTCTGATACATCTATATGTATTCTTTATATAATATTTTTAATTTTTTTGAATGTGAATATTTCTCCAAAAGAGTAATTGCTACTCACACCCTGAATTTATGCACAAAATTGATCCTGATTAAAAAAAGCAAGATTCTTTCCAATTGGTGTTTTGCAAAACTAGGAATTCGAAATATTGACTTTCAAGGGAATGTACTGCAAGGCATTATAAAGAAATTTAAAATGGTCTATGATCAACGATAGAGCCCGTAAAGCTTACAGTTGCCTGGAGAGAATAAACCCGCAAATTTAAAAAGCCCTCACTTACCTAAGCTGTCAGGGGAAAAATTTCCTGACTTTCAGCAAGACAGTACAAACCAAAGACAAATATAAACGTTTTGAGATGAACAACTAGAAGATGCAAACCAACCAGCATGCAGTGGTCCAGAGAAAGACCCGACCACTCCCCCTTGAAGCCTGAGAGCTGCCCTGTGCACCAAGGCACCCCCTAAGCCTGCTAAACCCACTGCAGTGAACCCGGGGAGGGGAGGCAGAGGTGAGCCTCCCAGCTCTTCCACACACTTCAGCTGCTGGCAAGTGCGATCCCCTCATTCACCAGTGCCTGGGGAACCGGAGATAAACACCCATCCTCTGACTTATGTAGCCATAATTACGTATCAGTTAATCCCTGAAACAAAGCAAACAGGGTTTGCAGCATGGCCCATGGCCCTCCCCACTGCTGACTGAAGTAAACAAAATTTAGAAGTAGTGCCCATAAACTCTAATGTATATGTGCATTACCAGGAAAAGCTTGGTGGTACAGTAATAACTTCCGTATAAGTGTATACTGTCTGATTAAGGAGTTGCAATGGGTGATGGTTAGGTGTCTTTGTGCCACAGAATATAAAAAAGTTTCCAAATGAAAATTTGAATTAAGGTGCCTCAGAGTAGCATAATCCTCATGATCGAAGGGGAGTTGATTTCACTGGAGTGTGAGCCCACACACAGGGCTTGTGAGGGCACCCAGTGCCTCAAGAGAAAAACAAAATCCTATCAGCTGGTGTTAGGATGATTACAATTTTATGAGTGTGCACAACAAATAGCACATGGCTAAGAGAGAGGAATGACTGCCCCCAAAACACCTCTGAGGATGAGAAATTTGAACTCATTACAATATGAGCAGGTTTTAAAAGGAATTTATAACATCTTCGGTAAAAAGGAATGCAGATCTTGTGTCTCACCTGTAAAATGTTTAAGGCATGAATTTCAATAAAGCTAGGTATAAGGATGTGACCAGGTATTAAAAAACAATTAAGAAAATGATACAAAGCTTCCTTATGTCTAGATACCATACATCTTTTGTCATCCAGTTCATCATACAGCAGTCACAATTAAATACATAAATACATGCCTTTTTGATATGGAAGATGAAAATATTGTTGTAAGTGTTCCTTTGAGAAAAGAAGTAAAACTGAGTAAGGGAGAGAATGTCGGTTTGCAACAAGAAAAGAAATCCTCATTCTTACCCTAGGTTTCTGCAACCCACCCGTTCCAACAAGACATTAAGAGTGACTCTGTTTATCAAACCAAAAGTACATCTAAACAAGTGCCCTGTTTTCAACAATAATCTATAGCAGGTGCTTAAGGAAGAGGTATAAGTGAGAGCATTAAGTCTAGGAGTGGTATTTTCCAATACATCCTCCCAGAAGCAAGAAGTTTCAGAGATTTCCTGACTCAGAGATTGCACAGTCTCTCAATGAACCAAACTGCACTTTCAATTCATTCAAGTGTTTGGCTGCCAAAGGGTTCTGGGACAAGAGGCTCTGTTATTTCATGACACACTTAATTACATTCAAAAGGTTGTACTTCAGTAGTTTGTTTGTTGTTGGTTTTTTTTTATTTTGTTGGATGTTCTCTACTTTGTGCACAATAAGACAAGGAATGACCACTTCTCATTTATTTTCTATACCA